CTAAATATCATGCCCATTCTCTGCTTGTGTAACAATCATTTTACAGAATTTTCTGTGATAATTAATTTGGATGGGCTTTTCTTGTTTTTAACAACATACTCGTATGTCAATAAAGCAATTGGCATTCTATTTAATGTTTATTAAATAGGTGAGTTTTCACAGATCTGTACACCCAAGCTTCTATACATGTTGCATCTTAATGACTGAGTTGTACTTACATGGTTTGGAAAGTCAGCTTTCAGTTCAGCTATACTTTTACACCAATATGCTGCTGTTTTCTCGCTGATCAGTTCAATATTTAGAAAAGAGCCTTGGCCTGGGCCGTACATAGGACCTGAAGTAATTCCACGCACTATCCTTGGAGAAACATTGGTCACAATATCCTGCAAAACAGTGAATCCTTTCAGACTGATTTTGCAAAGTGAGGCATGTATCAATGATGTCTATGACATAACATAAACTTAAATGTATCAGGTGTTTTAAAAATCTACTGTTCTTATGAGTAAAAACTACAATTATAAGCCAGTTCTTTACATTAGCAGCTTCCCTAAATTGGATTCTCTACATCAGAGGAGAAAAATGTTTGCTGTGCATGTGGAATGGTATGACAACTGTCAAGAAAACACCAATACGGGGCACCTATAAACTGCCATAAAAAATCTCATTCACATAATGGTTTTGTGTTGGGCAGAGGACATACAAGACTTTGTGTAAAAACCTGTGCAGGCCTCAATCATGTAACAGCAGACATGTGGACCATCCTCCCCAAAGATGATCAAAGTCCACGTCCGACAGTAACAGGTGAAGTGCAAAGAGATGCTGCTCGCCAGCCTCTCTGCTGAAAAGTCGGGGCCACTGGTCCAGTCACCAGCAAAAGTATACCGGTGTATCAAATTTCGCAAATGAAATTATATGATTAACAGAGATCACAATCAAAAAATAAAACCAAAAATAGTGAAAATTAAGATCAATATTGTAAAGCATGACATTTTTGAAGGTCAACATGAGGTTAGCAAACAATTTTGAAACATAGAGTAAACACACAAAATGTTGACGTTTAGTAGTCTTAATTAAGGTGCAATGTCACTGTATGTATATTAACAAAGAACTGTAAATTCTGACATTATTTAAAACTAAAGAGAAACATAGATGGCTAAATGTTCCTTTTGCCAATTTCCAATTAAAAATAATTTTGAGTAAAGGTCATTTATTTACAATTGTATCAGAATAATTTGTTTAGGTCCCCCTCCTCAGCATCTTGTCATTTTTAGTGAGATAACATGAACCTCCATTAGTATATAGCAATTAAGGTCAATTTACATATTTTAATTAAGAACCATTCCATATAAAACAATTAGGGTAATAGGCATACTAACTGGATTTCATAACATTTGGACGTTTTTCCAACTAGATAGACAGGAAACCTTAATTAGCATTAATTAGCACTGATCTGCATATGTTTGATAAGGCATACCCTTGCCACAAAAGATTATTTATTCCTGAATCTGCCAAATGTGGCAGTTACAGAGGATAAAGGGACTTCTCTTCACATTGTATGTAAATTTCAGGTAATCTTAATTTGCTTATAAAGTTGAATGAATCATTATACAGTAAATACACACTAATATTTTACACTGATAGATAATTATATATCCATTTTCATATGTAGAAATCCTACAAAGTAATCTCCGCAGTTCATCTGTTTTCAGGCCTAACACGTCTGGAACATGGACATCACAATAATCCCTAATTTTCCTGTTACACTATTTTCCCTTCATCACAAAAACATCACCTCCCTCTCGACAGTTAAGTTATATTTTCAGAAAAAAATAATTCAGAACATTTTCTGAATTTATGCAAATGAAAACCAAAGCGCAAAGTACACTCCCCTCACTCTCAAGACAAATTACAAAAATTGCAGTTTATGCAGAAGAACTATTTACGTCAGTTTGCTACACATTATCCTCTTGAGCCTTTCACTCCTTTTAAATTGCCTTAGCGGAGCTTGTGCTTTGACTTCATCCCAGAAAGCTAGTCATACACACAGGCCAGTGCTATCACATCATACAGTGCGAGAAAACACGCAAAGTCAATGACTTCAATGCTGGCAATCTGACTGCACTCCTGCAAGCACAGGGTGCACACGGTCATTTGACAACAGATCGGGGTTACTTTGAGCATGCTGCAAGCAACCATGAGCTTCCCTCTCCCATGCTCCAAAGCAGTCAGAAGCTATGTAGCTTTGGTAGTATGGCACTAAGCCTGAGCTAACAGCCTGTCTGTGGTGGGAATTACTATTCTTGGGTTCAGTGTAAATTATGATAAAATGCACGTGGTATAATTTCCATTTTGTGCCTGGCTTGTGTATGTGTGCATGCCAGATAATGCTTAGAGCCACCTACAGTACTGTTTGTTATCTTACTACATGTGTGTTTTGTTCTCCTGCCAGTCTCCTCTCATTTTACTACAGGTAAGAATTCAAAGACTGAGATATTACAGACTAGATTATACCTCTTGTGAGACACTCACAAAGCCTCAGTCTACTTCCATGCAAAAACACTCTGAAGATTTTCTGTCTGCCTTGGGTCTCCAGGCAATCTCTTCTCTCTTCTAAGAAGAGACCCCTGTTTAGACCCTGCGACAGCTGCCAAATCCCCATGGCTTTGACTCAGTCTTTCCCAGAGCTCAGTCATAGCCGACTTCTGAGTGACAATTTATCTCTCCAGGATCCCACAAAGCTGAATCAGGTAATGCACAGACTTTGCAAACTGTCTCAAAGGCAGCCACTCTTCACTTTAATGACCACAAGAGATACACAGAGCCACATGAAACACGAAACACACATACATCTCTCTGCCTGCGCTTCCTCACTCTTGAACTTTCCTTGAGATCTTGTGAGAAGCCTTCCTTTCCCTTCCCCCGCCAGCAGACAGCTGCTGCTTCGAATGGCGTCTTCCACTGCCTCCTTACTGCCTCTGTGTCACAGGACCCCTCCACTGTGTCCAAGCATCACTATCTTTCCTGACCAAGCTGCTTCTGCTTCCAAAAATCCTTCCTGGCTTTAAAATTCAAATACCACCACCTGGCTGCTTTGTCTTGGCTCCTCCTGAGAACGATATGCTGTCCTTATTTAAGATCCCGTTCCTCATTTGCCTCTTCTAGCTCAGATTAAGCTAGGTGGTGAGAGTCTGTAATGACTGACACGCTGGCACCCCTCCTGTCTCTTGTTAGCACATGACAGCCCCAGACACAAGGAAACTCACAGTTCATGGAAACAAAATGGAATTTATAACTTATGTGATGATTCAAGGAATCTGTCTATGTACATACAGAACGAAATCACATAAGTGACAGAAAACTGTCTCTTTGAGATGAGTGCGAAACACCTACACAGAACTTGCCTTACCATCATCTTCCTCTTCTGTCTCCTGCCACAGCTACAAATGCTAAACAGGGAGAGAGTTAGGCAAAGGATCTCTTGGCTGGGCTTAGCCAACTTCACGCCCTTTGGTCTTAGGAGTGAATTTTACACGGTAACACAGGTTCCTTCACTAAGATAGGAAATTCTGGTGGCTGGCCTATTGTTACTGCTGTCTCCAAAACAGCAGGGGAGGCCAGAGCAGCTGAAATAGCCACAATGCTCCGGCCCATGGGGGTTGTGACAGACCATCTTTGGGTGTTTTACTCAAATACTGATTTTCCCTGCTTGTAGGAATTGTGCAGCCAAATGCTGGCATCTGATCACTTTTCTGAAAGCCCAGCTTTTGCTTTTATCCCAGCTATGCACACAACCATTTTATTGTTAATAAAAATTGTTATGCGCATAAAAAGTCACAGTGGAATTGAAGCAAGAAGCCTGACAGGAAGCACTTCAAGGTTTGAACCTAAAAACTTTTCTGATTCTAAAAAAAGCTGACTGCTACAGAGAGATGGCCTGACTGATGAGTTGGTCTGGTCCCTGCACACAAAAGTAGAAAGTAGAGGTCTACATACTGGAATAGGAGAACTTTCCCCAGACTCCAAAAGGAATCAAGTATCTTATCTCTCCATGTGACGGACGCAATAAACAGTCCTTGGGAAACATAGCACAAAGCTTTTGTGTACTCTGAAGACCAAGGACAGAAGTCTTTTAATAAAGAGCAACTAGGGGAGAACAAAGCTTGTATCTGACCACGGTAAAAGACAAAGCTATGGAAAAAATGACTAAAAAAAATCATTGGCAAAGGTAAACAGAAGAGTCCATAGAAAATTAATTTGTTTCATGGGGAAATCTTGCAAACTAATGTAGACTTGGGGATTAGGGAAACTGTATTCAGTACTAGATTATGGCAAAACAACCTGGTTTGGGGGAGTTAATGCAAACAAAGAGTGACAACAAATGCAATCAAGGGCCAACTGTGAGTCATGAATATTTCAGTTACTGAATTTGTTCTCTTGCCTCAAAAGCAGATTCTTTTCCCCAGGAGAGCACACCAAAAACAATCACATCAATCCCTCCAACATATCTAGCTCAGGACACTACCTAAGAAAGTGGTGTTCACAGATAAAAGTGCCAATACCCTGCTGCTTTAGGATTCCTCTTTTCTGCTTATGAACAATTCTGGTATTCTAGTAACTTGAGACTGAGTTAATCTGCATTATATATACATTTCTGTTCCTGTTGATTAATTAATTAACACACTAAAAAAAAGACCCAAAGCATTGATCAGGCCCCCTCTGCTCTAATAATCTCTGAACGCTGCAATCAGATCATTGAATTCTAAACTACTTAAGTCTAACGGGCTGGGAGGTTTGAGACAACATCTTAAAGATAAAGCCCAAACACTCAGCAGTTTTTACTCAGTTAAATTTAAGTAAACGTGCAAATCAATACATCAGCCCATGCCTTACTAGTCACTCTAAAACTTGCTTTGCTTCACAATGTCCACATTTGCAGTTAGTAACTGCCACAGATTTTTGTAAAAACACAACCACGCTGTTTAAGCTGAGAGATGCTTTTATGTTTGGGCAGCAGGGACATTTGAGTTTTAAGGGATCCAAAGGGGTGTCGGCACAGTGTTAGATCATGAGGTAAGTACATTCCTTGTGTGTTTCTCCTAAACTAATCAGCAGAGAAATAAGTCACACTGTGAATATTAACATTGTCATCTGTAGGCGTGTAAGTTAATGACCCATAGAGAAGAATCAAGCCATTCGCCTCTCTCTCAGAGTTATTGATTTAAGGGAATCACGAAGACAACTCTTCATTAGCTGAGCACTTTTTATTTCATAATCCTGTTTCCTAGAAACAAAAAAAAAAAAAAAAGTTTGGAGAAAAATGTATAAAGAGGTCAGTTACATGAATATATAAAAAGTCTCCCAAGAAGTACACCACAACCTCATG